TTTTGTTCAGGGAATTCTCTGCTCCCGACAGCCTCTCTGCTGCCCGACTTGTTTAGATCACCCTCTTCCCGCGGGCCCAGCCCAAGGATCACAGCCTTCTCGCAGCCTGTCTAGACTATGTTCAGCCTGCCAATCAGCCCTTTTGCTGGCACCTAAGATTAATATCCTTCTGCAGTTAGCACTTAGTTATCCAGTTCATACTTCATTTATACTTCTTCATGGACATGTTCTGACTCCTAAACTGGAATTAAGCCCCTCAAAGCAAGGGACAGACCTAGTTTCCCCTGTGAATTGCACATTCCTTCCTGGTACAGAGCCATGTGAGCCCTGGGCCTTCAGTAACACTTCGATGTTGATGATCATGATGATGATGGAGAAAAAATGAGCAGGAGAGGAGGCTAAAGATAGAAAATAAATTCTATTAAAGTAAAATGGTCAGGAAAACCTACAGAACAAGTTGGATTACTGCAGAGATCAAACTCCAGGCCAAAGGAAAATGGTTGCATTTGTGTCTCTGAAACTTCTGCTTGCCACATCTGTCACATCCGACTTTATAAGCCATTTCATCAACACTAAACACAAAACGAGATGGACTCTTTCATTTTCTTCCTGGAGGAGCTCTCCGGGATGGTTAATTTTATGGGTCAACTTGACTGGGCCCCAGGGCGCCCAGGTATTTAGTCAAACATTATTCTGGGTGTGTCTGTGAGTGTGTCCAGATGAGATTAACGTTTGAATTGGGACACTGAGTGAAGCAGATTGACCTCCCTAATGTGGGTGGGCCTCATCCAAACAGTTGAAGGTCTCAGTAGAACAAGACTGAGTAGGAGGGAACGTCTACTGCCTGACGGTTGAGCTAGACATGGACCTTTTCCTTTCTTCAAACTTGAACTAAAAAAATGAACTCTTCTTGGGCCTCAAGCTTGCCAACTTTTGGACTAGGAGTTATGCCATCCGTTCTCTGGTTCTCAGGACTTTAGACTAGGACAGGGGCTGCACCACCAGGTCCCCTGGATTCAGCTTGCTGACTGTAGATCATGGGACTTCTCAGTCTGAGAGAAAGAGAGAGGAAGGGAGAGAGAGAGAGAGAGAGAGAGAGAGAGAGAGAGAGAGAGAGAGAGAATGAGAATGAGAATGAATATACTCTATTGATTCTGTTCTTCTGGAGAACCCTGATTTACACCCACTCACATAGACTGTCTTAAATTGAGCAGCAGCAGCAATCCTGACTCCACAAACAGTGAACATGAGATCAGTAATCTAGCTCTCCATTTGAAATTTTTTGCTTTTTAAAAATGCTTCTAAGAAACACAAATGCTTTTCCTACTTCACAAAGCTTTTTAAAGGAATCAAGTGAAATAACAGATGTGAGAGTGTTTGTAACTATAAACTGGAAGGGAAAGGTGTGGCCATTTGTCTAACCCTATCTTTCTCACTTCAGGGCATTTTTGTTTAGCAATTAATTACATTTAAAATCGGTTGTGTCAACACCTAAAACTAAATATTTTATTCTTAAAATTAAGATCCTTATCTAACTTCTTTCAATACCTTCTACAGTTCAGGACCAGCCTCGTCAGTGACAAACCTATTGTGTGGTCAAATTTGAGGGGCAAGTTTGCATGCCCTCCCTCCTCCATCTGCCAAATTCTTAGTCCCTGGACAAAAATTACTCCTTTGGGCACAATGTCATGTTACCAGAAAAGTCCATTTGGAAGGCAAATGATGCAGAAGCAGATCTGCTGTGCTAGGGTGGATGCATTCCCAGATGCCTCTTTGAAAGTGGAGAGCAAAGGAATGAGACATAAGACAGGATGATTAAAGGTAAGGCAGAGGGAGAGATGCTGGTATTCTGTCTGGGGAGGACCCGACTGGATGGGACACAGCCCTGGACAGTCCTACACAGTCAGAGGTCAGTAAAAGCAGGAGGAACAGGGCGTAGAGGGAGAGGGGCTGGGGAAGGGAAAGGAGAGAGATCTCCACCGAAGTCGAGAAAAGGTCAGTGTCCTGAAAGGGGCTGCACTAGAGTCGCATGTTGTCAGTTGAATACGTGTATTTGGAGCTGGCTCTGTGTTTATTTCTCCAGGCCTGAGACCAGATATCCTTATCAGCTCTCTCCTCCCTTGGCCTCTCTCACCTCCCTCGTGATCTCTCGCTAAACCCTACTGTTGTGAAGCCCACATCACTGGGACCCTGCCTTCATGTTCCACATGGGTCCCAAAGATGCAGCTCAATTCGCCGCAGGCCCTGAGGGTCACACCAGGACTGTGCTCCACCTTTTAGCCCAGTCCCACCCTCGAGGGGCTCTGTCTTCCTTCCAGAATCATCTCCCTCTAGTGTGGGTGATCCCAACACGCCCTTCCCCAAAGCCTCCTGTGGCTTCAGAGTGATGTGCAAATTAATAAAACTCCTGGCTCTCCCTTAAAGCCTGTTCCTTATCTAAGGTCCTTTGTAGTAATAACTAACATTCCTATAGTGACTTCTAATCCATTGAAATATCATAGTGATATCTAATTTGTTGAAATATTTCTAATTTATTGAAATAGTATCTTTAGCCGTAATCTGGCAGTCACCCCAACACTCAGCTGAAACAGGGAAAACTCACCAATGACCTTTATTGGTCATTATTGCTGGAGCCAATAAACACATGTTATGTCTTGTGGGGGTGTCCTTTTGGCTAGCGATGGCATTATTCAACACACCTCGTTTTTGTTCCTATCTCCTGCCTAAGTTTCTATGGCACCACTCTATGCGGGCTCACCACTACATTGCTATTGCTTTTGTCTGCTCAGCATGTCTTCTCCTCACCTTGGCAACTGCCCCCACCTCCCTGAATCAAAAGGGCACATGACCCAGGAGGGCCAATCCTAGTACGAATCTCTGTCCTCAGTGATTGGTGCAGAAATGGGTCACATGTCCCAAACCAGGCCAATCGGAGTTTGTCACCAGGATTTTGTCAACGAAGCTAGTGGAGAATCCCCTTAATCAACCCGTTTTGCTGTGTGATACTCTCAGTCTCAGCGATCCCTCTTTATTTTCTTGTCTGTGAGCCCGTGAGCCAAATGCGGCAAGGTTTAGCTCCAGGTGCGCTTCACGGGTTTCTTCATTCTCTCTGGCCCCGGGCTCGTTGGGGCACACTCTCCTCAGGATGGAGCCCAGGAGCCCAGAGCAAGCAGAAACGTGAGCGACGCTGAAGGTCTTGGCCCAGAACTATCCCATTGTTGCTCTGTCCACATCTCCTAAGCAAGCCATGCGGCCAAACCCCGTGCACTGAGGACATCAAGGCCGGGAGCCATACCCAATGTGCCACACTCCCTTTACCTTTCCCAACCGAGGCTCTAAGTGTGGACAAAAGCGGGGCACTATAATAAATCTAACTCAGAGTACCCTCACGGGGTGATCTGATCGCAAATTTCTCATGTGGCCGGTCATGGTGGGTGGTCATGCCCCAGGCATATGACTTCTTTAGTAAAAGGTTTCTATTTGCCTTGAGCCAGCCCTGTGCAATGTTTTTGTGCATCTAGGTTAACACACCTTCAAAATGCTTCTTTTCAAGAGCCCTAGGAGTCACTTGCACATTCTGGATGTGAATCCCTTGTCAGTCATATGTGTGACAAATGTCCGATTTGTGGTTTTTCTTTTCATACTTTATGGCCTATTGATGTATGAAAGTCCTTCATTTCATTGTAATTGCAGGTATCAATCTCCTCTGTGGCTTGTAGTTTTGTTTGTTTAAGGAATCCTTCCTTATCCTGAGGTGATAGACAGGAAAAGCCAGGACTTACAGAGCACTTTCTATGTTTCCGTTTTCATCGTCTCCCTTTGACAGATGATGAATGCAAGGCACAGAGAAATTAAGCCACTTGCTCAAGGTCACACAGCAAGAAAGCAGTGGAGTCAGGATCTGAACCCAAAGAGGCTGTCCTTAGCATCTGCATTTTAACAGCTGCTCAAAAGAGTTGTAGAGATCGTGTCATGCTATTCTAAAATGCTTATAAAGTTTTGCCTTTCTCCTTAAACCATATAATCTGAAGTTGCCTTTTATATATGAAGTGAGATACCTGAATTAATCTTTACTGTAATAACGACCTTTCCCCTTGGACATTCATCATTAATGAAACTAGTGTTGACTGATTCATGCTAAAGATGAATTAAAAAAAAACCCACCTAGTGTGTGGATGCTGCAAGAGGTGATCCCAGCCCGGCTGGTATGGCTCAGTGGTTGAGCATTGACCTATGAACCAGGTGATCAAACTTCAATTCCTGGTCAGGGCACATGCCCGAGTTGCTGGCTTGATCCCCAGTGGGGGGCGAGCAGGAGGCAGCCAATCAATGATTCTCTCTCATCATTGATGTTTCTATCTCTCTCTCCCTCTCCCTTCCTCTCTGAAATCGATTACAAAAAAATGTTTTTAAGAGGTGATCCCAGGCAAGGCAGGCGAAATGTTCTCTAAGTTCACCATGAAGTCCAGTTTCGAATGATGTGGCACCAGAATGGAATTCTTTGAATTAACTGAGGGAGTCAGAGCTCCACCTTTTCAGCGCTGAGGACAGGATGTGATCAAAGGCCTTGGTATCCTGCAAAGTGAACAGCTTATGCCCTGAAGACACCCCAGCAAGAGGCAGAGGCCATCACAAAGTCCTGAACAGCCTCCAGCTCCGCCTACACCGCTGGGACCGAAATAGCTCACAGCGCACTGTGCTGCCTCCTTGTGAACCGTGTGGGAAGGAACGCCGGTCACGAATTCTTTGTCCCAGCCACCCCCGCTCGCTGGGACAGCCGTGGCAACTGCAGTGGCACCTTGGAATGTGCAGAACCGCTCGTCACAGGCTACACACATCACACCTATTCTGCACCAAGTCATGTCTTTCTCTAACATTAGAGGTTTTAAAACAAATACCAAAAAATCTGAAAAGGATTTTTTCAATTAAACAATGAAATGGGAATGAGCTGAGTGTAGCAGAGGATGGGGGCCAGATCATAAAGGGTCTCATAAGCCGGCTTAAGAAGTGTGAACTTTATTGCGTCAGTGGGAAGGTTTGGAAGCATTTTAAACAGAAAAGTAACATGACCCATTTATTATTTGCTTGTTAGAGGCTGTATGAATCGTTGCAATCTGGCTCGTAGGATATACTGAAGACTGGTTGTGCCAGGCTCTGCTGGGGTTGCCTGCCCACCGCCTCCTGGTTCTTCCTTGCCAGCTGAACATGCCCACATCACTTTCCCAGCCTCCCGTGCAGGTAAAGCATACATCCGTGACCCCGTCCTGGCTCATGGGACCTGAGAGGGAAGGCGGCCGGGAGGATTCTGAAAAGGGTTTTCCTGTCTAATAAAAAGATGCATCAGGAGAAATGCCCACCTCCTTTCTAAATGTGGTCATGTTTGCATTTGATGCCTGGAGCTGCCACCATGGAAAGGGACAAGGCCAATCCCTCAGGGATGGCAGAGCAGGAAGATGGAAATGATGACCTCATAGAGCCATAAATAGCCACATTCCCCTGGAGATAACAGGTGCTTGTTGTTGAAGCCACTTTTATTTGAATATTCGGTTCCTTGGATCCTAAAGCATTTCAACGGAAAGAACCATGAATAAAAACACCACAAATTTGTGTGGTGTATAAAACATATTAAAAAGAGACACTCCCAGATATTTATCCTCCTATATAATAAAAACCTAATATGCTAAGTGTCTGACCGTTCATTCAACTGTTTGACCAGTCGTTATGACATGCTCTGATCACCAGGGGGCAGATGTTCCGACCGGTAGGTTAGCTTGCTGCTGGGGTCCAGCGGGTCAGGACTGGGCGAGACTGGCCGGACACACCCTGGAGCCCTCCCGCGGTCCCTCCCTGGCCCCAATCAGTAGTGCAGGAGTGGGGTACCCCAGCCTGGCTTGCGCCCTCTTGCAATCCGGGACCCCTCAGGGGATGGCGGAGAGCCGGTTTCAGCCCGATCCCCGTGCGCCAGGCTGAGGGACTCCACTGATGCACAAATCTGTGGACCAGGCCTCTAGTTTGAAATAAATAAGCCTCTTAAAATTGGAATTATCTACCATATTAACTGCTCACTGAACATTTTGGATGCTCAAGCAAGAAACCATACAACTTCTGAGACGACATGTCTTGTTCTTTTCTCTATCTGAAATTATTATTCCACATTTTCTTCTCTCATTTGCACATTTCCCCTAAAAATCACTGGAAACGCCCTCTTCTCTTGAAGGTCTCTCTTTCAGGAAGTCATGGCAGTCAACGCACATTGTATGAGAAGAATCTCAGCTTGGTGTAAACAACAAAAGATTTGCAAGTTCCAGCGTTTGGTGCAACGATATAGAATCACAAAATTCTACAGGTGAGAGAAACCTTGCAGAGAGAAGCCTTTGCAGTAACACACACAGGCTGAATACAGGTAAACCCAGAACATCTGGTTAGGGCTCCTTAAGACCATTAACAGCAACAATCTCCCAGCCTGAACTCTTACGTCAGCTGCAGGCAACTCCTCAGCAAGTCCTCCTGGTTCCCTGTGAAGGAAGCCCCATCGGGTTCCAGGCACAGGTTGGGGTCCCCCTCGCTCCCACTGGGGGTCCTCTCCTTCATTGCAGGAAGCCTCTATCCAGGGCTGGCGCTGAGATTTCACCCATCCAACCTTCATCCTCGGGCTGCTTACAGTAGTTGGGGAACTCGCGACTTTTCCACTTGCAAACAATTTAAAAGTACAAGTGAGACAGACGCACTACTGAGCGATAGGGAGCTGGAACTGCCAGGTGGGACTGGCGAAGGCAGCTGCTTTGGTCAGCCTGTGTCTCTCCCTCCCCGCCCCCCTCTCCCCCCCATTCACCCCGCAAGCAAACACTGGCTCAGCGCCACCAGCAGGGCCGGGCGGGCCTTTGGCGAGGGTCTCGTCGCCGCCCTGACAGGTGCGGACCCCCTGGCCCGCGCGGTGACCAGCCGGGGGGAGCGGCCCGCGAGGATGCGGGGCGGGCGGGGATCCCCGCGGGCACCGGCGCGGGAGGGGGGAGGCGGGGCGGGCGGGGCGGCAGCGCACCTGCGGGGCGGGCGGGGCGGGCGGGGCGGCAGCCAGGTGGCCGGGAGCACCCGCCCGGCCGGCGGCAGCAGGAAGCGGAGGCAGCGCGGCCTCGCGGAGCAGCCCCGGGAGGCGGGAGCCCGGGCCGGAGCGAGACCCGATGGCAGGCCCCGGGGGCGCCGCCCTGGACGAGCTGTCCCGGAACTTCACGTACGGGGCGCTGGGCGCCGGCAACGGCTCCCTGTCGGGCGCCTGGTACCGCAGGAACCAGGTAAGGGCCGCCGCCCGGTGCGCACCCGCGCGGGCCCCTCCTCGGCGCCCCCCCGCCAGCTCGCAGTCCACGTGGACCCGCCGCCCCGATGTTTGCACACGCTGACGTCACTGCCCTCGAGTGGGAGAGCGGGCGGGGGCGGGGTACCCCCGGCTTCCATCCCTGGGCACCAGTCACCCCCAGTCACCGGCGGGGGCGGGGGGGCGCGCAGATCCGCGGCTCTGACCTGCGCACGTCATTCCTGGGCCGCTGGGTCCAGAACAGTCCGCCGCTCCTCCCGGAAGGGTTCTTGGGGCGCGGGGTGAATCCTCCTCCACCCGTACCCCCCAGGATCGTGTCACAGTTAACGACAGGGACAGCCCCTGCTCAGAAGCATGAGGGCCCCCGCGCAGGCGCCCCGCGTGTGCGTTCCCAGAGCCTGTGCCGCTCCCCGTGTCCGCGCGCAGCACCGTGCCCTGGGGGGCACTTGCCTGGCTCCCCGCTTCTTTCTCACCGGCCCTTTAGCAGCACTGCCAGCCCGAACAACACCCGTTTACGCTGCAGATAAACATTTAACAACAGCCACGGGCTTGGAGCTGCCCTGTACCTTGGGGCTCGGTTTAAGGTCAGGAAAAGGGCTCCGCGGGCCCTGCACTGGCCGCGTTTATCCTCTTTCTAGTAAGTGATCGGAGAGGGTGCATGGCAGGCTTCCGTGTTACTTTGTTCCGGTTCTTTAACAAATCCGTGGGCCCTTTTATTTTACCACAATATAGTCACAAAATATTTGTTGCTGCTGGTCTAAAAAGCAGGGTTTTTTAAAACCAATAAGCAAATGTCTAGGATCCTTTTATTCGTAAAAAGCGTTTTGAATGTCGGCTTCTTGAAATGTTGAAATGTCATTTTCAAAAATCTAACACAAGATTATTTATGTAAAGACAAAGTAAGCATGTGCACCGTAGCTTTCCACAGAGGGGAGAGCGTGGCTTTAAGTCTTACCGCAAAATATACTCAAACAGGAAAAATGTGGGGCCCCAGCGCCTCCTGATTACTGTGTGTAACCTATTCCCTGTCGTCTTCCTTCTCACAGGAGCTAGAAAATGGCTTTCTGTGGGGAGTTCTTTGAGCATATGTTATATTATGCGAAAGCTAGTAGATGTTATGAGTGTGTTATAGAGTGCTTATGTGAGAAGCAGTCCCAGTAAGAGTTTAGGAATGGCTTTTTCTCTTTTGGTAAAGGAATTGGAGTGTTAAGTACCTGTGAGCTACCATGGCATCATCCAAAACAGGAGACACCATTGTTTTCACAGTGGAAACGGCTGTCGTCATTAGTTTTCCTTTATTTAATGTTTCCTGGAATTCAAGACTGTCTTGGCTTTCTGACGCCTGACTACAGATGACCATGTGACATAAATGTGAGATTTGGTTTGCAACTCTTGACTTGCCTTTGACGATATATTTATACAGGTTAGAAAGGCTATATCCAAAGTATGCTAATTGAAATGACTCAGCTGACATTTAAACGATAGCTAGTTTGAGGTAAGACCATATCCCATTATTGTGCAAATTTAGGCTGTCTTATAAGACTGTCATAGTTTACCCTTTCAGTAATTGCATTTGTTTTTAAGCAAAAGTAAAAATTGATTTCTTTATTCATTTGGCCAACATTTTATTGAATGCCTCTAGTGCTGGCCAGGCCAATAAAAGTAAAATGGAGTTTAATTTTTCTTTTCTTTCTTTCTTTCTTTTTTTTTGACCTGACTAAAAATAGAAGGCTGAAAATGAGGGTGGCTGAAGAAAAACAAAATATGAAATAAAACTTTAGGACTCCCACACTCAAAATTAGCCTTGGTTACTGGAAAGCCAGCGTTTAATCAGTTTTATCACAACTTAAATATTTGGACAGTGCCTGTTGACTGATAGCCCCGCTGTCTGCGTCTCTCCAGTGATAACCATCAGATCTGATTGATTAACCTCACTCTTAGAAAAAGACCAACTCCCCTGAAACAATTTTCTGTAAGAGATGAATAGTTAACAGTGGCCTCCTAGAATCAGTGTTGTCTCAGGGGATGATTTGAGTACTTAAAGGAGGAAACCTCAAAGCAAGCAGAAAGTAGTAGTAGGGTAAAAAGTAGTTGTGGGGAAGATGTTTTGAGGAGCCAGGGAAGTGAGGCCTGGCTATAAAGCAGCCGTGGGCAAACTACGGCCCGCTGGCCGGATCCTGCCAGTTTGAAATGAATAAAACTAAAAAAAAAACAAAAACCGTACCCTTTTACGTAATGATGTTTACTTTGAATTTATATTAGTTCACACAAACACTCCATCCATGCTTTTGTTCCGGCCCTCCGGTCCAGTTTAAGAACCCATTGTGGCCCTCGAGTCAAAAAGTTTGCCCACCCCTGCTATAAAGTGTGGATGCAGTAGAGTTCTACAAAGATATTTTATTTATGTCTGAGCCACAAGTTTTCAGTATAAAAGGACAATGTTTCTAAAATGGTTATTGCGCTCCCTGCTTTGTACAAAGCACTGTAAGGATATTCAGCATACAGTAGTCTCCCTCCGTCCTGTGGGGCTATGTTCCAGGACCCCCAGTGAATGCCTCAAACCACAGATAGTACCGAATCCTTGATATACGATGTTTTTTCCTATACATACATGCCTGTGATAAAGTTTAATTTATAAACTAAACACAGTCAGAGATAAACAGTAGCATAGCAGAATAGAACAATTGTATCAATATACTTTGGCATTAAAAGTTATGTGATTGTGAGCTGAGACCGGTTTGGCTCAGTGGATAGAGCGTCGGCCTGTGGACTTAAGGGTCCCGGGTTCGATTCCGGTCAGGGGCATGTACCTGGGTTGCGGGCATATCCCCAGTGGGAGATGTGCAGGAGGCAGCTGATCGATGATTCTAACTCTCTATCTCTCTCCCTTCCTCTCTGTAAAAAATCAATAAAATATATTTAAAAAAAAGTTATGTGATTGTGGTCACTTTCTCAAAATATCTTACTGTAACTACCCCGTACTTGAAATAAATGGCGTGGTGTCACAGGTTCGGGCAATCCCTTGCTGAAGTCTTCCTACAGCAGTGGTTCTCAACCTTGGCTGCACATTGGAATCACCTGGGAATCTTTTTAAAATCCTGATTTCTGGGCCTCATCCTCCGGAAATTCTGTTTCTTTGTTATGGGGTGAGGCCACAACATTAGTAACAAAGAAAAAGAATTTCCGGAGGATGAGGCCCAGAAATCAGGATTTTAACAAGATTCCCAGGTGATTCCAATGTGCAGCCAAGGTTGAGAACCACTGTTCTAGCAACACTTGGCCCTCTTTCCCACGTGGTAACTATGAGCTGGAGTTGACAGTTTAGAACAGCTGTGCTCCCCACGTAAGCCTCCATCTTTGCTCTCATCCTATTGGCCCTGTAGGCAGTTTGCAGCCAGTGTTAGAGACCGTTGTCTATTCTTCGCTGTTGACTGGCTGAGTGTTCTTGGGCAAGTCACTCTGAGCTTCACTTTCTTTCCCTGTAAAACTAGGTTTGAAATAGTTCTCCAGGCCCCAAATGCTAAACCACCCTAGCCGGTTTGGCTCAGTGGGTAGAGCATCAGCCTGCGGACTGCAGTGTCCTGGGTTTGATTCTGGTCAAGGGCACATGCCTCAGTTGCAGGCTTGATCCCCAGACCTGGTCAGGGTGCATGCAGGAGGCAACCAGTCGATGTGTCGCTCTCATCCTTGATGTCTCTCTCTCTCCCTCTCCCTTCCTCTCTGAAATCAATAAAAATATATTTTAAAAACTAAAATAAAAAATTAATGCCAAATCAGCAAGGTTTTAGAGCGGATAGAAGAATGTGGGAAATAATGTGAAGGAGTGTTGCTACTGGTTCTTTAAGTTTATGCATAGCATATTGCTAAATATATAAATTCACAGGAACATTGTCAAAAGGTTCATGCCGCATAGGGTGAATGGAAATTCAGAATTTTTGATGTCCTGTATTTGAACTTTTGATTTTCAATGACTTGAATTGTTAAAGTCAACATGTTTCAAGGAAAACTGATACAACTTGGCAGGGAAGAGGCAGAGCAAAGAGACTGACATTTGCTATGCATTTACTGTGTGACCCTTTATAGCCATTATCTCATTGGAGCTCCCAACAACTCGTAAGGTATATATTATCCTCACTGCTCATGTCGGGAAACTTGTGTTAAATAACTTGCCTCAAGTTCTTACAGCAAGTAGGTTTAACTGCAAAGCTATTTTTATTCCATGCCTGAAGGCCATTGCTTAGAAACTACAGCTTGAAAAGAATGTGGTGGTGAGAGTAAATGGGGGAGGCGGGGAGTGAATATGGCTTTTCACAATGTTCTAAAAAAAAAAAAAAAAAAAAAATGGCGTTAGTTTCATATCGCCCCTTTATTGATTTTGCTTTCCCTCCATCTATCTCTTTTCTGCTGATAGCTGCATCTTACTGTCTCTTAAAGAAAGAAAAGTGCCAAAACTTACAAATAATTGAAGGGCCAGGTACAGGTTGCTGAACCTCTCCATTTCCTTCCCAAGAAAAATCCCTTTTTTGGTTTTCTTTTAATTTTGATTCTTTTTTTTTTTTTTGCCTTCCTGATGTCTGTAGCGTGCACATCCCCTTTACCCAATATTCTGTGAGATATGTGTATAAGGCAGAAAGAAGAGGGAAGAAAGAAACGGATTACCTCAAAGCAACTCTGTCAGAGCTTTTGTAATAATAATGAGAACCCCGTGGTTCTTGTTAGAGGAATGGAGTTTTAATGCGCGTGTGGGGTTTGGCAGACCAGGTGTTCGCATTTAAATCGACCTGCTATCCTCTTTATGGCTTGGTTCATATGAACTAGAATGAATATTGGCATTGATGCAATCAGAAAAATTGAGGCTAGGGGCAGCTTTGCCAGTTCATGGGTTTACAAGACTCAGTTTCCTCATAAATCATGTTTACAAGAAAAACAAAGGGAGAGAATGAATGGAGAGAGAACCTGTAGATTAAAATGGACCGAACCGACCCATTTGTAATTTTTTGAGGTACCGCCATACCGCTTTCCACGGTGGCTGCAGCAATCTGCATTCCCACCAGCAGTGCACGAGGGTTCTCTTAGTGATTCCACTTCTGGAATCCGTAGAAATCTGAAGCGCTAATTTGAAAGGATATACCCACCCCTACGTTCATTGCGGATTATTTACACTAGCCAAGATTTGGAAGCAGCCCAAGTGCCCATCAGTAAATGAGTGGTTAAAAAAGTTGTACATTTACAAATTGGACTACTACTCAGCCATAAAAAAAGAGGACATTTTGCCTTTCATGATTGCATGAGTGAGAGTATTATAATACCTGGAGAGTATTATGCTAAGTGAAGTAAGCCAGTCAGAGAAAGACAAGTACCATATGATTTCACTTATATGTGGAATCTAATGAACAAAATAAACTAACAAAATAGGAACGGACTCACAGATACAGAGAACAGACTGACAGCTGTCAGAAGGGTGTGGGTTGGGGGGCTGGCTGATAAAAGGGAAAGGATTAAGCAACAAACAAACACTTCATAGACAGAAAACTGTGTGGTGAATAACCAGAGGGGAAGTGGGGTAGGAAGAGGTAGGAGAAGTAAAGAAGGGATAAATGGTGAT